GAGGCTCGCTTGAGCCCAGGAGTTGGAGGTTGTTGTGAGCTGTGATCACGGCACTCTACCCAGGGGGACAGCTTGAGGCTCTGTCTCAACAAAAAAAGAATCTCTCTTAAGAAAATGACAATGGGACTGAGATACAATAAAGCAGTTTAGGCTGGTTGGTTAAACAGAAGAAATTAAAGCTATAGAGGGAATAACTAAGTTAAATGACAGAATAAAGTACACAAAAAAGCACAAAAGACATGCAAATCTCAACTGCAGTCATGCCTTGATGTCCACCTATATTCTGACCCTTTGGGTTTCTTTCTTTTTTTTGAAACAGTCTTAAGCTGTTGCCCTGGGTAGAGTGCTGTGGTGTCAATAGCTCACAGCAACCTCTAACTCTTGGGCTCAAGCAATCCTCTTGCCTCAGTTTTTCTATTTTTAGTAGAGATGGGGTTCACTTTTTGCTCAGGCTGGTCTCAAACTTGTGAGCTCAAGCAATCCACCCACCTAGGCCTTCCAGAGGGCTAGGATTACAGGTATGAGCTTACCCACCAGGCTGTTTTTTTTGTTTGTTTGTTTTTTGAGGCAGAGTCTCACTCTGTTGCCCCAGGCTAGAGTGCCAGGGCTTCACCCTAGCTCAAAACAACCTCAAAATGGATCAATAAACTGTGGTATATGTACACCATGGAATACTATGCAGCCCTAAAGAAATATAGAGACTTTACCTCCTTCATGTTTACATGGATGGAACTGGAAAATGTTCTTCTTAGCAAAGTATCACAAGAATGGAAGAAGTATCCAATGTACACAGTCCTATTATGAAACTAATTTATAGTTCTCAAATGAAACCTACAACCTAATTCTAGCCCAATGGGGAGGGGGGAGGGGAGGGGAGGAGAGAAGGGCAGATGGGTGGAGGGAGGGTAATTAGAAAGATCACCTCTATGGTCTGTCTTACAAGGGTATAAGTGAATCTTTCTAAAACTAGAGTGTAAATGTCTTAACACAATAACTGAATGACATAAAGTCTATGTTAACCAGTAAAATATTTCAAATTGTATATGAAAACACTACACTGTATCCCATGTTTGCATTAATGTACACAGCTATCATTTAATTAAAAAAAAAACAAAACTCAAAATCTTGGGTTCAAGAGAGCCTCCTGCCTCATCCTCCCAAGGAGCTGGAAGTACCTGGCACAATGCCCAGATAATCTTTCTTTATTTTTACTAGAGGTGGGGTCTCACTCTTGCTTAGGTTGGTCTAAAACTCCTAAGCTCAAGCATAATCCTGTTTTAGCCTCCAGAGTCCTAGGATTACAGACATAAACCAAAACACCACGCCCTATTTTATTTTCTTAACGTTTTTTCCTCCC